GCCACACGGTCTGCCCATACACTACAAGTAAACATATCACATGATACATCCCCCATACCTTTCACCAGGAGGGGCCTTCTACCCATTTTATAGAAATTAAATTGGGGGACCCAACCCCCCACACGTGTATAAATTGAAAAGTCTACCTAAAGTGAATTTATATAAAACGAGTAGTCTGCAGGTCATTTTTCTATTGTTTGGCTATGATTTCATTGAATTTCAATCACTTCTGAGGCTTCATGTTTTCTAATTTAAAAAGGCAAGATTTCTGGGCGCTATAGTTTTCTTAAGTCTTTGAAGCTTGATTTATCTTGTTCCATGTCATTTTTCAGTTTACTTTTGGCATCTCCGAAATGTGTACAAAATTGGATCATTTGTTGTCTCCACTTCTCTGCGCTGCTCAAGTGATTGTTCTTGTGCGTTGGAAGCTATTCCAATCAGGGCCTGCAGGCTACCCAAGCGCAACTGCAATTTCCCATCGCACCCCAGCTGGACTGCCACAAAAGCTCTCCCTGCCACAAAAAATGCCACTATGCGACCTAGGAAATTTTCACAACAAATCGAGATGCAAATGTTTTTATACAGTGGTGCGGGGGTCAAGGCATGCCATTTTATAGAGAAAAGGTTGGCTTTCCAGATCCTGCCAGGTCTATTGGGCTAGGCCCCAATGCTTTGAAATTATTGTCTTTATGCAAAAAGCAGCCCACAAATAGATCTATTTATATAGATACAAAATCATTGTTAGCAACTTTTTGTAAAGAAATCAAAAGGCAAACCTTTCTATACAATAATAAGGGGGTCAAGGCAGGCCATTTTATAGAGATAAGGTGGGGATGGGGGGCTGCCAAGCCCTACGGAAGTCTGCTAGACTTGAGGCCAGGGGGAGAGGTCGAAAGCTAGCCGAATCGCACCGGATGTACTAGTTACATAGTCGGCAAAGCATGTAGGGATGACATGTTTTGGGAGGAAGGTTGCTATGTACATACTTTGCGCTAAAGAATGTAAGTGTGACATCGCTGACTGGGAAGGGTACATTGGAACAACCCGGGTGCACTCGTTGGCAGGCACGAAGATGCGTGATCGGCAAATCTGGGGGGTAAATTTACCCTCCGCTTTTGTATGCCTTGAGTCGGAAAGAGGGGTAAGCATTTCTGACATCATACGGACTGTACATACACTAGGGCGTCCGTAGTGTAGGAGAAGCACGGGTAAAAGGTATATGGAATAGAGTGTCTTGAGGAAATAGCCGGTGTATGGTTATTGCAAATCTGGGGGGTAAATTTACCCCCCGCTTATGTATGCCTTGCGCTGGAAAGAGGGGTAAGCATTTCTGGCATCACAAGGACTGTGCATACACTAGGGCGTCCGTAGTGTAGGATAAGCACGGGTAAAAGGTAGAAGGAGTAGAGTGTCTTGAGGAAATAGCCGGCTTATGGTTATGGCAAATCTGGGAGGTAAATTTACCCCCCGCTTATGTATGCCTTGAGCCGGAACGAGGGGTAAGCATCACAAGGACTGTGCATACACTAGGGCGTCCGTAGTGTAGGATAAGCACTGGTAAAAGGTATCAAGAATAGAGCGTCTTGAGGAAATAGCCGGTGTATGGTTATAGCAAGCCTGGGGGGTAAATTTACCAACCGCTTATGCACGCATTAGGTTAGAAATAGGGGTAAACAACTTGTAACGGTGAAGTACAAGTCCTATGCAGCAAGCAGCAGCCAGCAGCAGCAGCAGCAGCAGCCAGCAGCAACCACCAACCAGCAGCCAGCCAGCAGCACCACGCAGCAGCAGCGCAGCATCAAGCCGCAGCAGCAGCAGCACCACCGGCAGCAAGCAGCAAGCAGCAGCAGCAAGCAGCAAGCAGCAGTAGCAGCGTCGTCAGCAACAGCAGCAGCAGCACCAAGCCGCAACAAGTAGCAAAGCAGCAGCTACAAAAGCGGCAACCAGCGGCAGCAGCAAACAGCAGCAGCAAGCAGCAGAGCGGCAGCAGCAGCACCCTTTACACCAAGCCACCGTTACACCCAACCAACCACGTTCACACGTTCAACCAACCCCCTACACGGCGCAGCTGGGAGTTGAACCGCGGGGGGGGGGGGGGGGGGGGGGTGAAAGAGTGACTAGGGCGTACACGGTAGAGGTGCAGACCGCTAGTGTCTTTTATGCGCAGAGTCTTATCCTCTTGCTCTTTGAGCCTTGAAGCAGTCAAGCATGGACACACTATATCAGCTGTTGGAGTGGAACCCTGTACAGGTAGGCTCTACTTTTCAGCAGGCACAAGATTCATGTCCACTTCTAGCTGATTGCGTATGTCGCATACTCTTTTTCTACTGCAAGGCTAAATCAGTCCAGCTAGCTCTGACAACTTAAAAGAAAACTACGGTGCCATGTACTTACCTAATCCAGTGTGTTTCACACTTCAGAGAAGGTAATCTCATAGCTACTAAATACAGTGAGGGAGCAATAGCTGACTCACCTCAAGTACAAAATCAAAGCGATAATGTACCTCGGCTGGAGACTGTACTTTTTGCAGGCGGAGATACCATGTACCGGCGCTCACTAGCTCTTTATGGCCTGAGCTAAATCAAACTAAAAGGGAAAGCGGCTTTTTCTCTACAGAGACCTATAAAAGAATCAAACGACACTCGCGTAACAACGAACTAAAAATTCAAGACCGCACAATGCAATGAATTAAGATGCCTTGCAAAATGCAAGGAGCGTACGGTCCGAGGAATAATCTTCTCGTGACGTGGTCTCGACCGCTTTCATTCACAGACAAAATAAACTGCATCAAAAGGACTCTCTTTCACATTCACATCAAAACACAAGAAGGAGATACCGGCAAATGTATGTACAAAACTTGCACTACAAATGCAGACTTATGAAATGACTTAATCATCAACCATGAATGGTTGTCCATTAGAGGTCATCTCAGAAAAAGCGGCTGTGATAGATATCATCAGTTATGCAAAACTGTCCATACCTATCTGCATGCTAAAGC